CTGCTTGGCTTCTGTCACTAGCTCTTCCTAAAGGAACTGCTTGAAAGTAGCCTTCACAAACACTGGCCTGCCCTCTGGACACCTGCCGCCAGCTGTGAGCAGAACAGAGCCAGAGAGCAGGGGACGCGGGGGAAGCTGTCCCTTGTTCCTCTTCCCCGAGTATCCCTTTGGGTTCCAGAGGGAGCTCAGGTTTTGCAAACCCAGGTGTGCAGCCCCCGAGGGTCCTCAGGGGACCTGACTGTGGTGCACTGAAGACAAAACCCAGATTCCAAGTTGGCGACCGGCCCGCGTGACATTTGTCGTTAGCGGCAAAGCTGGGCTGCAGCCTCCCTGAGCAGCACTGTGCTTTCAAGGCAGATTAATTTTTAATTTATTTTTCTTGCATCGTATTTATTGATTTTTTTTAAATTGAAGTCTGGTCAACTTACAACGTTGTGTTAGTTTCAGGTGTACAGCAAAGTGATTCAGTTATACACATATGCATCTATTATTTTTCAGATTCTTTTCCATTATTGGTTATTGCAAGGTGTCCGATGTCGTTCCCTGTGCTGCACAGTAGGACCTCGTCGTGTATCTATTTTGTATATAGTAGTGTGTGTCCATTACATTATTTTTAAGATCCACTTCAACTCTAAAACTCTGTAAATCAGTGAACAGAGAAAGATAGTGTTCCCATTTTATAAAATCACGCTTCCCTTCCTGCATAAGTGGAGTCTTTACAAAGTAACTCTTGATTACAAGATGCATAAATATTCATTGTTGAAGACCACAAATTTCAAGAAGAGTTTTAAATAAATATGAATCTTTTAAGTAGGTTGAAAATGCATATACTGTAACTTATTTTTGGAGGGGGGTTGAAGTATTTCACTTTTTTACTTTTTATGTTTTTGATACCTTTATTGTGATATGGTTCCCACAGAGTAAATACACTATAACTTTTTTATAAATTTGAATGGAAAAAAAATCACTTTGACAAATAGTATGTTGAATGTCGAGGCTCTTTCATAAAAGACAACCTGTCACTCAAGTGTATGCAGCAAAATAATGTTTTCTGGTTTAATATTAGTATTTTTAGTGAATTATATGTATTCTGTATGTGTTATTTTGTGACACATTTTTTTCGTCCGGTATGCAGTATTGCCCATCATTACATATTTAGTGTTATAATCCCCCTTCATTTTTTTTTTTGGTTCACACGGGAAGCTCTTGTTTTGGGTCATGTTCCGTCTCCCCCAATTTTACTGAGCTAATTCCACGTTTGTGTGTGGACTTTTTTTTTTCCTACAGGATGCAGGAGGCCACCTTGTTTGCTATATTGGATGGATTTCGGTTTCTCTTCTCACGAATAACAGCCCTTGGGGTGGAGCTAAACTGATCAAAGATTGTTCATATTTGCTTCCCACAGAAAGGCTGTTCAGATCTGTTCTCGCAGCAGCGCTGCCGAGAAAGCCGGTTCCTTAAGCACGCAGTCACGTGGGTATTAACGCTGGGTTTAATCCTTACCGATAATCTGAAAGTTTTATCTTGCAGATACATTTTCTTACATGCCAATTTTTGATTTTACATTAACCTCCCTTGACTGTTTTGTAGTTATTTTTATTTTTTGGCTGAAGGAATTAATTAGTTTTTTTTTTTCAGAGGAGGGACGGGGGATTGAACCCAGGACCTTGTGCACTCTAAGCATGCGCTCTACCCCTTGAGCTATACCCTCCCCTCTTTTGTAGTTTTTTTTTTTTTAATGAACTGTGTGCTCAGGCATGCTGTTTGCCCAGTTTCCTTTTGGAATATTCATTTTTTAAAAAATTGGCTTGAAGGCACTACATTTATACTGCTTTGCTTTAAAATCTTCAAGAATATTGGGGTGAACTAAGGAAGGGGTCGCTCACATTCTGGGATGCATGCTAAGTGTTTGACCTTTTAAGTTATTCCTCCGACGGCGTGAATGTTTTAACAATTGAAGCCACCTGACCAAAAAAAACCCCCCAAAAACCCCAAAACCCCTCCAGAAAACCCCAATCTTTGGACATTTTCCCAAGCAATCTAATGGTCAGTGTAAATGGGAGTGACGAATTATGAATGTAACAAGTGTCCCTGATTATAGTTGCACTCGTAAGTCAAAGAAGACAGTTCGTAACAGTTTGGTCCAGTGTTTCAGTTTTGCCTGTTAAATTATTCCTGTCAATGCTTGTATGCGTTTAGCCAGGAATGTTTGGTGGTTGATTCAAGACATGAACTATCTTACCCCTTTATTTCTCCCATTTCTGTCCAGCGAACGTACGTGGGAAGGTGGGGAAAATTAATTTTTCTTAATACAAGAAGCACCTTTTCCCACAGACCCATTGAGGCTGCATGATGACTGTTCACCACAGCTGGAGGTCAACCTGATACCTGTTCTGGTAGTTTAAAAAGTGTAGTAATAATAATCCTTATGGCCACAAGGGGAAATATTGCAGGTCTGTTTTACACCTGAGGGAAATGACACTCAGAGAGGTTAGGTAAGTTTCCAGAAGTCACACAGCACGTTGGAGGCTGAGACTGGATTCCAACCCGGGTGTATGCGGATTAAAAGATCGGACTGTCCCCAGCCTGAGGGTCCCCCCTGAGTGAGGCCGGAGGGCACAGGCGGGGCGTTCTCTGAGTCCCCTCGCACTCCTTCATCACCAGGCAAACTTACTAAGTCGGATCCAGCGTCCAGACAGCCATGCCCTCTTTGCACTTTGTAGCACCCGCTGCAGGGACGGAAGCCTCTGTTCCATGAGCAGGTGTCTGCAGCCACCGCCTGCCTGAAGTGTTTGCGAAGGCGCGTAGCTCCTTGTGAATGTCAGAAGATGCAACCTGGAGACCCGTCTGAGGGGTCTGGCTTCTGGGACAAGACGTGGCTGGAGGCAGGGTGGGCACATCAGCCAGGGGACCGGCTGGTGACCTTTTAAGTCCTCTAGAATCTAAACAGCCGGGTGTTCTGTTCTGGCCGAGAGCAGCCCGAGCCCCAAGCCCAAGGCCAGGAGGGCATCAGGCATTTATCTCCGTGATCATTTTGGAAATCTCGGGGTTTGGCACCAGCAACATCTCGGTTCTTTTAGCTTGAGTTAGACAGTTCCCATAATTACCCCAGCAAATGTGCATACGTTATGCCATGAATGAGTGTTATCCAGCCTTCTAATCTCATAAAATTATCGGGAAGGGGGTATGCTTACATCCATATCTGCATTTGTATGAGAAGGGGTCAAATTTCGCGTAATAATGTACCTTTTCTGGCGCTAAAATCTCTCTATATGCTGATGTAATAATTGCTTCGAGGGAAGGATAAATTGGGAGTTTAGGAATTACTATATATAAAATAGACAAACAACAAGGTCCTGCTGTGCAGCACAGGGAACTACACTTAATATCTTGTAGTAACTTACAATGGAAAAGAATCTGGAAACAATATCTGTATACTTATAACACACATTGTATATAATATGTATTCTGTATAATATGTATGCATATAAAGCTGTGTATGTGTGTATATGTATGTCTAAAGCTGAATCTCCTTGCTGCAGACCTGAAACATTGTAAATCAACTATAAGTCAGTAAAAAATTAACCTGCCTTCAGACATCTCCTGGGTCCTAAGGATTCTGCCCAGATGTCCCTTCTGGGGTGACTCTCTCCTCACGTTTGCCCCAAACGTCCCAAGGCTTCCTCTTGGGTACCCACCCTGGACGCACTGCCCACCTTATTACATCACTGTTTACCTTGTGTTGGGTTTTTTTTTTAAACCGAACCCTGATGTACTGCCTTTTTGGAGGATGGACACCAGCCTGCGCCCACTGTGCTCTCAGGGAACAGCTGACAGATGAGGGAGGTGTTTCGGATAAGCATCGTTTTCTCCAGCTCTGCCGTCAACGCGAGTGTCGATAATTTATCTCCCCAAATGGTTCCCTTTTCTTTCAAAATGCTTTCTTCTGGGACTTCACTCACTGCTCTTTGATTGTCTGTATTTCAATTTGGTATTTGTAAACGGTACAGTCCATTTGCACATCTGTTCTTTTTCTGTTTGTTTGTTTTGCATTCTTTTTTATTGAATAGTCGTTTGCAACGTTGTGTCAATTTCTGGTGCACAGCGTCACGTCTCAGTCATACATGGGCACACATACATTCCTTTTTCTATTCCTTTGCCTCCTAGGTTACTACAAGACAACTGAATAGAGTGCTCTGTTCACTTCTGGCCTTTGGAAGGCCCCTTTTCTTGTGGAATTCTTTATATCAGATTTTCCGAGGTGCTTCTGAGGTGGGCGTGGCCGGCGTCTCAGGCCGTGTCTTCTTGAGACACGGATGAAGGCTGCAGTCCGTGGGCCCGCCTCTCTTTTCGCTCCTGATTTGTCCCCCTCGTGCTGGACCAGGGTGTCGCGCTCACTGGCTGGTTGGCCCGAACGGAGGCGGGCTTTCCATGGAGATTCTGCGCCTCCGCCCCGATGATCACCCTGGAAGGGAGCCTGGAGGGAGGACCTCATGAAAGGCATCTTTCCTGCCCAGGATGCAACTGGGGCTTCCTCGGGGAGGACCTTGGGGTGCGAGCAGACAGGGGCAGCCTGGAGGTGGGGAATTCTCAGGGGGGCAGAGCCCTTCTCAGCCCCACTCACACTCCATCCGTCCGTGCACTTGGGGACATCAGGACGTGTTGCTTTGGTTCCTTTTGGCATTAGAATTCCCACTCATGTAGCAGACTTCTTTTTAACCCATACGCATACACCTGAGGCCCCGTCTCTCTGTCCTTTCCTGTCTGCCTCCTCCCTTCTGAAGCAAGGTCAGAGTGGGGTCCGCCGTGAATTCTGTTCCTGCGACTGAAGGTCACGATTCGCCTTCCAGAGTTGTCACCCAGGTGGAGCCTTGGAGCTGGTGGTGTCCCGGAGCTAAGAGCTCACAGCTAAGACAATGAGGGGTCTGCAGGACTGGGGTGTGTTGGGGACCACGCACATCCCCGAGGACTCAGGCCTGCCCATCCTCCTGTCCCTGCAGGCGGCGGGACCGCAGCCCTGCGGGGTGGCCCCCTGCTGCTGGCCCAGGCGGCTGCCCTCCTGGGGAGGCGACTTCGCCGCTCCTGCCGGGCCTGGAGAGGCACCCTGTCCACCCTGCTCCTGCCTGTGCTCTTCGTGGGCCTGGCCATGGCCCTGTTCATGGTGCGGCCGCTGGCCGTCAGCTACCCTCCCCTCAAGCTGGCCCTGGGCCACTACGACACGGACGAAACATACTTCTTCAGGTAAGGACCTTGTTTGGTTTTCCCCGTGCTTCAAAATTATGTCCAGACAGAGTACGAACAGCAAGAGGTTTGACGCTTTACGACTTTCCGGTAGACACGTGTTTTCACCGATTTGGAAGTCGGGGCTCCGGAGGGTGAGAAGTTATCACTTCGTTCCAGGCCTGTCTCAGGGCAGACGCTTAGGAAAGGGGACGTGCAAAGGGCCAGGCTCCCCCCGGGCAGGCCCAGGCCAGGAACTGGGAGGGTGAGACGTGTTCCAGAATATTTAGGATTTAAAAAACCTTATATAAATGGTATATTTCACAAACCCCTCCAGGGTTGCACCTGGGACACCGGCCTTCATCCGACTCTTCTCAAGCCAGCTTAGGTCCACGTTTCTGCCAATAAATTCAGACCAGTCTGTGTTTGGCCTCCCGATGAATTTACGTAGGAAGCGCTCAGAGCCCTCAGGGATTTCATTTCACCGACGCGGGATGGGGGACCCAGGAGAGGGCCCCTGACCACCTCGGGTCCCCGCCCCTGGGTGGCTGGCTCCCCTCCGGATTCAGGCCACTGTGTGGACACTGGGCACCTGCTGCCGGCTGGCCCTGCAATGGCCGGGGTGACGGGCATCTTTCACTGAGCGATGAGCGGGACAGCCCCTTGGGGGCCGAGACGCAGGGACACACAGGGGTGGGTGACCAGGAGCTCAGTGTTAGTGTTGCTTCTGTCAAATACGTCTTGATTAACACAATGAGCCTCGTGAGCCGGGCCCCGAGGGCTTGCGGCTGTCTCTGCAGCTTTTCCAACGGCGTGCAATTTGGAATTAGATTTAAACAATCACAGGATGAGAGGGAAAAATCAAGAACGAACCCGTCCGTTGCTTTCTGTCTCCTTTGCTTAATGAGCTTTCCCCCTTCTGCATATCTTGAGGCTCCCGGAGTCTGGGTTCAAGTATCTCATTTAGGCACTGCCTTTGGAATCACAATTAAATCACAATTGAACAGTTTCCAACTCCTGGAAGCTGCTAAGAACAGGCTTCGTGTTTGTAACGGCACTTTAAAATATAGCCAAGGCTTTGAAGACAAGCAAAAAGCGAGAGTTTCAGAACAAGCATTTGAATTTTTACGGCAACAGGGAAAATTCAAAGCTTGTTCTTTTTTTCATTTTCAACAGCGACCTCTAGACCGAAGGGAAAAAGTCGTGAAAAGTAAACCCTCACGTTGAAACTTTCTCTTGGTAATTATTCCAAGGAAACTACTTCGTGGATCGATATTTGTTGTTTTTTCAGAAAAAAAAATTTTAAACTTCCATGTTTGTTGTTGGATGCATGGGTCAGAAGAGAGCAGTTCAGAGTGTTTCCACGGATGCCACAAATAACGTTTCCTTTTTACAGGCAACGTTTCCGTGGGAAATAGGTCCTCTTCCTTCTGAAAGTGTTTTCTCATTTGTCAGAAACTTGAAGACTATTTATACTGCGGTCACACTGCATACTCGAGACAGACCTTGGCTGTAAATTTCAGCGTGTTTCATCCCTGTGTGTATTTCTGGCTGCGGCTGTACAAGAGAGTCATATTAGACCAGTTGTAAACCACCTCGATATTTTAAAATCTGCGTTGTATTTCGTGCAGCGGGGAAGATGGAGCTCTCCTATGAATGTTCCTTTTGGTTTTGGGTGCTGTGGTGGTGTGTGCATTTTTCAGCAGAAATACCCAACTTATTTGACAAATGAGTTGGTCTTTTTTTTTTTCTTCCCCATTAAGACTGGTCCTCTCTGGAAGGGAAGCAACCTGGGAAGACCACATTGAGGACAGAGATGAAGGGTTGGGTCTTCGATTTCAGCCCTTTAACACGATCAATTTGTCCCACTAATTTTTGTTGAGAATCAGCTGTGGTCCAACTACTGCCCTAAGCCTCGTCCCCTTTCTCTGACAGGTTGTTCTGTTCCGTGGCGGGAAGCCCATGGTGAAAAGCCAGTGGAGAGGTGTGGCAGACCCTGGGTAGGAGAGGAGGCGGGCAGAGGGGGAAAAGGAGCTTGGGGCTTAGTGGCTGCAGATGGCTCCCCATCAGGTGGCAGAGACACAGGATGCCCTCCGAGGGTGCCACGCCTCCAAGGCAGGCCCGCCCAATCAGAAGGCAGCTCTGCTGGAGTGGGCGTGTCTCCTGGGAGAGGATGCTGGGCGTTGGTCCAAAGGCATCGCGGCCCTAAGAGTGTGGAGCACCTTACGGACTAGGTGACCGGGGGCCACTGGTGTGTTTTGAGCAGGTTGATACGCTAGAGACTGGCCGAGGGGATTATGGGAATTAGGACCCTCCACAAAGGGCCCCTCTGCGCAGAGGGCGTCACCGCACACCTAGGGAAAGGATGCTTTCTTGAGCGCTAACTTTTCTTTGTTGGAAGAATTGGTGGTTGAGACTGAGGTGTCTTGCGTTTCTTAAGAGAAGCTAGTATTGTCAATTCTTTAGCAGCAACCACTGACGTTCATTTGTTAGTTTGCGTACTGCTTCTTCCTAAAAAGATTTAACGTCATTATACACATAGAATTAATGTGTCATGCTAAGAATATGTTTTTGTTTTGCTTTCTTTTGGGGAGAAGTGTTCCCAGAGATGCCTATTCAAAAGCATTTTGTAAATGACATGGTGTAAGTTCTAGAAAACAGTAAGTCTGTATTCTCTCATAAATCGTACAACTCAGAATTTTAATTAGTTAAAATGATTCTTTCATATATCCTACAATGCAAAATTGTAATTCATTAATATGAACCCCACTCCCAGTTAGCCCACTTTAGACAGGTTTAAAATATTGTTTCCTCTACGTTTTCTCAGGTCAAGATGTTTCTTACAACTGATGTATCAATTGTAATATAGACTTTGTTTCCACATGTGCCCCCGACTGGAGGAACAGTGTGTCTTATCTTTGACCTTGCTTCTCAGTGAGGCTGTTTGAACTATTAACTTCTGAGACTTGTGCCAGTCAAATAAATACGTACAATTCACTGTGTACCTAAAGCATATGTAGGACTTTTCACCAAGAAAAAGTTTGACATAGTTCACTAACAGAAACAAAAAAACAAATGTAAGAAATTGTTTTGTTGCAAGGGTATGTATGCCACAGGACAAATATTCAGACCAAAATAGAGCTCCAACATTATGAGAATAGTTTTACATGTTTTAATATAGGAATATTATGCAGCCTTTATAATTAATCTTCAAAAACCAGACAAAAACACCAGAGTTGGTGATAGCATAATATGAAGCAACAAGATGAGAAAAATAATGCCCTGAATGCAACGATATAAAAATACACCTGTGGTAGCAAAAGTGTGCTTGTGATGTTTCTTCATCTTGTTGCTGGTCTGACTTCTCCATAAAAAAAAGTCTGAGCACCCAGGACCCTTGGCGGTGGGGAGGGGAGGAACCTATGAAGTCAGACTGGGTCCTCTGACCTCAGTCGGCGAGTGCTGACCTCGACCGTCTTCTTTCCTCTGTCTTCCTGTGAGCAGCAGCCAGAGTGATGACAAGGGACTGACCCACGTGCTTTTGCAGAACTTTGGAGATCAGGACCTGCTCTGTGCCGACTCGAACCCCGACCTGTGAGTATCGGAGCCGCTTTGCAAAAGTGCAGACTCCGGCGAGTAACCTGCGGACTGGGAGGACCCCCCACCCCGCCCCGTGGTTGGTAACGCGGTTGGCAGGTTTCATCCGCCGTCTGCAACGGCCTGAGACACGCTCCACAGTCACCCCTTTCCTTCCTGGGAAGACAACATGCTTTGTATCATCGCAAAAAATTCATTAATAATGAATAATATTCAATTTGCCTAATAACCACCCCCCCCCGCCAAAGAGTAAAACTAAAAAGAATAAAGGAGCAAGTATGAAATATGCACTCACTATTACTTACTTTCCGGGGTAAACTTGTACATAGGAAAAGGTTAATTATAATTTTTTTTTTAAGTAAAGAAACATCAAAAATCAGTCACATCAGTGAGGGGAGGAATTACTTTGAAGACTGTTTTGCTAGGATTTGAAAATGTTAATCTAGAGATGACCTTTTTACAAAACCTTCAGAAAACGTGCCTTTTTTCATGAGCAATTTCCTTCTTATTTTGGTTATTTGTTGTGGATCAGCTGTAAACATAATGCCGTTTTAGGACCAGGAGTGACGCTGGACGTGGCCCTTTCTCGGGGACTTACAGCCCTGGGAGAGCTAAATGGGAAAAGTGACTGAAACCGTAATGATGTGTTAAGCACTAAATATGTTTCTAAGTTCTAAATAGGCAAATCCAGACAACACTGCAAAACCGGCGATGTGTTTTTCTAATTTGCGATGCAACGTTTTGTGCATTAGTCATGCTGGTAATTAACTCGAGGCTGAGCAACGATTAGCGGCTTCAGGACGGAAGCATTAATAGGAAATTAATTATGTTGTTTCACTTTAGTCTCTTCTTGAAAAAGAAAGTAATTTATTTAACAAAATAAAAGCTTCCATGGTGATGTTTTTATGCCCCTCCCCTCCGAAGAAACGCACAGGATGTAAAAAGCATCTACATTTGAGAAATTGTAATGTAACCCGGGGCCCTGCCTAGTCCCAGCCCAACGTTGCAACAAAGAAGGAGAAGGTTGGCAGAAAGAAAGATGTTTATTTAGTTTTTCAAGAGGGAAAAAAGAATAGCATTAGTGCCAAGACAGCAGAACGTTTCCTGAATTCTGTTCCGACATCTGTTTCATTTTGAGGAGCTTTTCCAGGGGATGGAGGCAGTGGGTCCCCATCTCTCGCTCCTCTGTCCTCGTCCAAGGATGCCAGTATCCACTTGAACGAGGTTTGATTCACTGCCATCCCAGATCGAAGCAAAAGATTTTATTGAGAACAAATAAGTTTTCTTCTCTTAGTGGAAACGTATTATTGAACTCAATGTCTACATTTTCCCTTCCTGGCAGACTTTAGAGTATTGATTAGCAGACCCTTTTTGAAACCAGAAATTCAGTTCTATGTAATGACTTTTTTTTTGGTTCAGGTAGTCTGAGCTCACACTCGGAACCGTGTTGAATTTCTGACCTTCACCTCCTCTTCTCCAAGAAGGCAGTAAAAGTCTCCGGAAAAAGCTACTGCAGTGTAAACTCGAACCGAGCTATACGTTTTCACGTGATGTGTAATTTAAATACTTCTGAAACATGCTGAAGTTGCCAGCTTTTAGAAGCAGACACGTAGATGTAAACCCTGAGTTTTATTTCACAAGGCTTGTGTCTGGTGCCCCTCCAGCAACGGTCTCTTCTACTGTTTCTGATGTCAAATTGTTGCCGAAACACGGCCTCCGCACCCCACTCACCGAACTGAGACGCGAGGACAGAGTGTGGATGAAGCAGAAAAGGCAGCTGTATTTCTTTGCAGGCAAAGGAGGCCACAGTGGGCTGATGCCTCCTAGACTGTGAGCCTGCCAGGAAGAGAAAGCAGGGTTTTATAGTAAAAGTTCAGGAGTTCAAGGGGCAGAGCTGGTTTCCACAGAGATCACACACAGGGTAACAAATTGTTGCCAAGTTGTTCTTGTTTTTGCAGATGCAGGGGTCCCCTTCCCTCTGCTGGGTGTGAAGTTCACCTCCAGCTTTGGGGCTCTCTTAATAGTCTTGTTTTTAGAACAAAAGATGCACAAGAAGGGGCTCCATGGGAGAGAAAAACGTGTGCAGTTTAAAGTCAGGTTGATAAATGCTTCTAGCCTGTTAAGCAGGCTGAGGGCTGGGACCTCCTGCTGCAGGCTGGGACCTGCACCTCAAACAGTAGGATATGGAGGAACCACAAGGTGCTAAAAATAACTGCAGACATGTGCAGTTGGAGCGAGTTATGAACAAGATGCCCAGAACCCCTGACTGCTGTGTCTGAGGTGTTGGGAGCTAAGGCAGGTCATTGGAAGCAAAACACGTCCACAGATATGGCTCAGAATATTATCCCCAGTCCTTGAGGAGGAACTAAAGGTCCCTGACTTTGTTTAATGGCTCAACTATTATTATTGTGTTTTGCTTGACTGTTTCCCCTTGTTTCTCTATTTTCTTATTTCTCTGATTGAACTTATTCCTTGACTTAAGTTTTTCTACAGACAAGAGGCAGGCGGAGGAATTGGGGAGGTGATCTTCCTGGGAAGGCCCCAGAGGGTCCTGCTCTGTTTCAGGACCAGGAGGCCTTTCTCACACACACACACACACTCAGTTGGGGTCCCCATCACTGCTCCTGTGTCCCACAGAAAACCATAAGGGAGTGCTCACCAAGACAGGGGATGGGTGATTAGGTTCCTGAAATCTGGGAGGAAGATTAAGTGGAAACATCGAATTCTTCACATTTCATCTCCTCTTCCTTGTATGAATGCTTACGCAGCTTCCTGGTGACCCTTGGTGCACAAAACTTCTCCGAGGCCAAGAGAGATATCCAGATATAAAGTGTGTTAGATGCCATTGCTGATCATTGTGCTACCTGGCAGGTCCATATTTTTCCTCTAAAATAGGAAGCTAGAAGAAGAGTTAGTGGAGGATTTGGAAGCGACAAAGAAGACTTTTTGAAAACATTCGTTAAGTGATAAAAATTGCTAACAGTCACTGAAAGCCTGCAGCCAAAGCGAGGAAGACTCGCTGAGTTTAAGATGTGTAAACAGACTCATTTTTCCCCCCCAGTTAATCATGTTCAAGACAGAAGGCAGTCTGATTACACACATAACTCCCTTAGGTACTGTTTCCCTGTTCACTTTTAACTCTCAAACTGGGGTCCCATAATTATGCTAATTAACCAAGAAAGTAGCCTTTAAATTATTTTTGGTATTTCAAAAAATTACACTTTGCTTGCCTGGTTTGGAGAAATGGCAAGTTTCTTTTCATGGGACCAGATGTTTTTCAACTGGGTGTTCTTATGTGAGAACAGCACAGCCCAGAGCAAAGAGCAGGGACTCTGAGCTCAAAAGACCCTCCTTCCAAAGCGTGATCTCGGGCGACCCCCTCATCTCTTAGAACCTCACTCAATCTTCCAAATAGTGGGGCTAGCAGAGGTTTTAGTCAAAATATCTAGCTGGGTGCCCGAAGTTCAGTAATGTTAATTTCCTTCCTTCTCTCCCAATTTCTGAGTAAATAATGAGTATCGTTACTACAGCAGATTTTGGTTTACAAAACAGTAGTGAAAAAATGAGTCCAAGTTAACAAGGAGGAAGGCCGTGGGAGAGCTTTGGAATTTAGGAGTTTGGGATTAGCAGACACACACTACTGTATGTAAAACAGATGAACAACAAGGACCTACTGTACAGCACAGGGAACTGCATTCAGTGTCCTGTAATAAACTATAATGGGAAAGAATCTAAAAAGGATGTGGATGTGTGTGTATCATCACTGAGTCATTTTGCTTTACACCTGAAACTAACACAACGTTGCAAACCAAGTCTTCGTCAATTAAGAAATAAATGAAAAGGTTTGCAACCACTGCTGTAAGTGGTTTTCGTAACAGTCTCTTCTGCACAACCTTTCCTGCTAATGGACATTTTAACGTTTGCTACTTTTCTGTAAATGATGGTTCAATTACAGTGTCACGCCATGAAAAGGAATTAGCAGCTCACTGTGTTCATTAATTTGTGTTTCTTAACACCAGCCAGACTGGGGCTGAAGGAACCTGGTTTTGAGAGAAGGAGATCCAGGATTCACCATGGCCCCCGGGCCCCCCACTGAAAGCCCCAGGGAGCTTCAGTGGTACATTCAATACAGCGACCAGAGTGAGCATCATTTAATGTAATGGAAATATTGTCATTGCAGTAGAACCTGGTCATCAGATGGGCAGCTCAAGCTGTGCAGACAAATGCAGAGCTGGCCTCATGTGGCAGGAGGTGATAATCTTGTGAGCCGTGGTCTAGTCTGGGGGTCGCTCCTCCATGCAAACCCAGTAGCTGTGTGATCTGAGAGATGCTTCTGGTTCTGTTTCATTAGGAAGAATTCTCCGTGCTGGCACACGGACCCCGCCCCTCCCCCGGGAGTCCAGGATCCCTGTGGCTGCCAGGTAAGTTTCTGCAGAGATTTTGATTTTTTTTTAAAACATCTAAACCTTGAGTGAAAAAAATGAGTTTATCCCATCTGAAAAACCTGCATCATTGTTAACTGAAGTGAGCCTCTGTGACTTTTAGGGTCACTTGATGAGCTGCTTCTTGGGCCATGGATCCCACGGTGGCACTCCTGCCCACCCCCTCCTGATCGGCATCAGTAACTGCCCAGTGGCATTTATCAAGCAAATAAATCTTCCTCGATTGATGACGAGGAAGGTACAATTGCCCCTTTAGGGAGAAATGTCCCAGAATTTCAAGGCAGGATGATCTCAAGTCTCTTCTTATATTTTTATCTGAGTTCTGAGATCTAGGTAACAAGGCTAGATGTTACTCAGCTCTGTCAGCTCTGACTGACTAATACAAAAACATACGAAGATGTTGTAAATAAGTTCACTTGTGCCACTGGATTCACAGACAGAGAAAACAAACTTATGGTTACGAAAGGGGAAAGGGAGAGATAAATTAAGAGTTTGGGATTACTAATATTCTATATGAAATAGATAAACAGCAAGGACCTACTGTACAGCACAGGGAACTATATTCAATATCTTGTAATAACAAAATGGAAAAGAATCTGAAAAAGAATGTGTATTTATATGTATATCTGAATCACTATGCTGTACACCAGAAACTAATACAACATTGTAAATTGACTATAATTTAAAAAAATACAGAAATAATGTATTCCACTGTTAAAGTGAGAGCCATCTGCTCTGCAAAGGAGAATGAATTGAAATTTATATGGAAAATTGACTGGAACTCAACTCAAAGGAAACCTCAGAAAGTAATTAATAAAAGGCATGGGCCTCTTAGCCACGGTCACCAAGCTGATGTGGCAGTCCTGATTTACAGAGACAAAAGGAAAAGCCAAAATCTTGGTTGAAGTTGATTGAGGCTCTGTCAAGAAAGCAGTCACGCGAACGAACGTGTCACCAGAGCCTTGTCTGTTTAGTGGCCCATGGGGTACGTTCCTCCTATGAGTGCAGTGACCTTGGACAGTCTCCTTTTTGGTGGGCCTGCTCTGCATTCTCCTCTTAGACCAAGTGTCTGGGGGTAAGTGACACAGAGCCCATGGTGGACACCCGCGGTGGTGAGCGCCACAGAGAATTAGTGAGGCTCTACATGTTAGCCTTGTGGCCTCAGCTGTCAAACACTCAGACCTATATTTGGTGCTTTTTCCCAGTGACCAGCTGTTTCCTGCTCACCTTTTTTTTTTTTTTTTTGACACAGTGATTTCTTTCTTACTTGTCTGGTTTATTCCATTAACTCATAAACCGTCTGATTTTTCCCTCCAAGCTCTTACTTTGTGGCCTCGATTTGATCACTTCGTTATACTGGTACCTTTTATTACAAGCTACCTAAAATTGATGGGAATTCCGTTGAGTGTCAACAGCAGGGGAATAAACGAACACGTATCAGAATGGTTGATGCTGGCGTTCCTAAATTTTACTCCAACTTACACGACCCATAAGAGTTCTGTCATCTGCGTGTGAGAGGAAAAATTTTCCCATGAAAAATTCTGTAGCCAAGTAAATTGCAGAAAAAGCCAGAGAGAGCCCTGTTTAACGGGTGTTTTTGCTACAGCTCTTCCAAGATGCATCCTCTGGTGTGCATGCTTGGGTCACAGCGGGGCAGTTAAGACGTAGCATTCCCTGCAAATTACATGACTAAAGTGGCCCTTTGGGGGGCACCTGTGTACTTGGGCACGTGCTTTGAGAAAAGCTGGTCCACATGTGGGGAGTCCGGCTATCTCAGGGGACAGAGTCGAGGTGGAATTCGTAGATGTCCAGACACTGCTCTGGCAAGGTTGGCCCAGAGGAGATGCAGGCAGAGGGGTGTGGGAGGAAGGCTCCCACCCAAGGCTGGTTCTCTGGTTCACTGTTTTTTTTTTTTTTTTTGCCAGATGGTGAAATATTTCCTTCTCTTTAAACTGATAGGTGCCATGCAAAAGTCCCAGGTCTGCAGGACTATATCCATGCACGTGTATTGGTATTAAATACCCCGTGGCTCTCCAGCCTCCAACAATGGTCCAAGGTTAGTCTCCTTCCGAGAAAGGAGACTTTACTTTGAACAGAGATGCCTTTGAGAGCCACAAGGGGAAGCTGGCTTTAGGCACTGAGGGAAGAAACACATTCCTCTGAGCTTCCTTGCTTACCCTCCGACTCTCTTCTGGTTCACCGCATGCAGGACCACCCCAGTGAAAACATGTTTTTCCCTTTTCAGTCAGTCCTTCCAAATCGGCTCGAACTTACACACAGGAAAGGATGTGAAGTTTCCCGAATAGAACTGATGGCAAAGGGCACAGTGGGATTCTGGTGTAATTCTGAAATATAGCTGACTCTTAAAAGAGATTTGAGAAACCAGGACATATTTGAGAAAGCCCAGAGATAATCCATTAAAAAAAGTGAAAGCCAGGAAGAGTCACTTTACTGTCAGCAAACCCGCGTGGGGTTATAAACAAGTCTCTGCTCTATGTCTTTGGAAACAATTCCAGAAGTGTCCGAACGGAAGTGTCCGGGCGCCCTACCTGGCCAACCGCCTGGGCCACAGGCTGCTGAATCTCTCGGCCTTGCACCTGGAGGAGTATTTGCTGGCGCCGACTGAGAAACCCAGGTGAGCTCAGAACAGTCCCAGGTCTTTCCCGCTTCTTCACATTACTGGGGAAGTCCTATTGTTTCAGATGCTGATGTTCTTAAAAACCCTAAAGTCTCATAACCCTGATGCTCATAAAAATTCCAAAGAAATGCTGCAGGTCTTCATAAGATTCTCACCAGTGACTTTCACTCATTCCACATCTCTGGGATGAAGGGATGGACGGATGGATGAGTTAAGTTGAGTTAGGTGGGAACGTGTCCTTATGCCTTTGCCCCAATGTCTGCTGAGCACAGGGCCACTATATGGTGGACATTTGGTCACCAGTCTCCTCTTATCCAGAGACTGGGAGACAGAGTTAAATATGGGCTGTTCTTTCCAATATCCAGTATTTTTTGAAGCTTAGTGAGCGCCAGGCACTACACAGCCCATGGGATCTGGAGACAAAGGATGTCATCCCCACCCAGGGAAAAACTCACAGAGCTGCACGAAAGATAAAGTAGCAAAAAGACAATTAAAACCCACGGTAGTGATTGACACAGTAAATGGAAATGTAGGGTATTGTGAGAACCCCAAAGAGAAGGAAATTTACCCCAACTGAACTGCTCTCGGGTGCCTTCCTGAATGGGGCAATGAATAACAAGTTGATTTGGAAAGCCAGGAAACTGAGAAGATGGGGGGAGGCTAATGTTCTGGAGAACCATCTTCCCCAAGTCAGAACCCAGGCTCCTTTTATACTAAAAAGGGGAGGGGGTGTGGTTGGCTGATGCAAACTTCTGGGTGCATGAATCCTTTGTTCTTGCAGCTGTGCCCCTGGGTCAGGTCACGGTGCCCCTGCAAACCTCCAGCAAAACAAAT